AATAGCTTCAATATAATATGGAACGAGTTCTGTCGATGACATTATGTAGTTATGTACTCAGATATCTGCTTTATATCAGCCATATATCGATTTACACACGATTTACTTTTACAACACTCAAAGAAAAAAAGTATAGCCAAAACCGTCCCTAGGGCTCATACTTATCTTGTAACAATCATTTAATTTGTAGTGTCAATAATTTTTGTGCATTCTATGCACAAACTTATTCAAATTTTATATTGCCCTAATTAAAATTAAGATATAATATATAACCCTACCTTTGAAATCCAGATATATTCCATTTTAATTATATAAAGTTTTGTATCGATGGAACGCAAAGATCTTAATTGAACACTGCATTTGAGGATCAGAGAAATATCAAAATTTTCCTATAACAATACGCCGGTCCATCACACTTTGATAACGATTTCTTCCTAAAACACTGAATTTTTATAACACACGTTTTTTAAATTTGTTCATAATTATATTAACAGCAAGAAGATCTTTTCTGTACAACAATTTATACACTTATCACTGACACACAAAAATATAAATTGTCATTTTCAGATCTACCATGAAGTCCTAAGTAGATCAATACTAATGTTCGATTTTATCGATAAAACTATAATGCAAAAAACCAAGCACGTAAGTAACTTAAATTGGCGCGAAATATGAATTTATGCAATTGTTGCTTTCTTTGAAGACTCTGAACTTTTTAAATAATTGTTTCAAAATAAACAAAATCCACTGAAGATAACATTCCAATTATTTTATCATCACTTGTAATATATTCAATATTTTTGACATGTTAAAGTAAAATATGGAAAACGTTTAATTTTATGGTTTCATTGTTTTATTTCTAAAGTAATTATATATCGAATACAGATCTCCACGGTTGTTTTATTTCCAATAATATTCATAACTACAAGACATTAGTATCGAATAGAATTTGAAGACAGGTACAAAAGCCGCCTCGAAGATCACTCAAACTCACTTGCTAGAAAACTTACTTAACCATAATATTACCAGAGACAGGTTGAAAGAAAAATTTATTCTAAATTATTTTCTGGCATTCTCAAAATTCCTGATAAAGACTAGTGGTGTACGGCATCGTGCCTTGAAGCAAATTGCTGGAACTTCCCGTACTGTAATAAAATATTCGAAGTGTATTAAATGTTTTCAAATATATTATTTTAAATACTGTAACTTCCCTTATTTGTATTTTATAAACAAAATATTAAAATTTATTAATTAAACGATGATGTTCATATAAGTTTACATGAAAAGTAAATAAACAAATCTTAATGTTCCCCTTCGAAGAGGAGTTAGAATGAAAAATTATTAATTTTTATTTAATTAATTAATATTATTAGTAATATTATTTTTTGTAATTTTTTTTTTAAAATATTTTTTTTGCTTTTCCCAAAAACAACCGGTTCGTCAACATAAGCGAAAAGTTTTTCGAATCATTAAAATCAGATGCTTCGTTCTCTCAAAAACTGTCATTTCTTATATATTTAGTTCCGTATCTTCGAAACGACTGAACCTTTCTTTGCCAAAACCTAATCATCACTTCTCCCTATCATTACAAATTGAAAAATTTTCGAATCATTCCAATCGGTTGCCCGGTTCTCGCAAAAGCCGGGTTTCCATTTTCTGCTTTCTTTGCTTCGAATCTCGAAAGCGGTTGAACCGACCTTTCTCAAAAACTAATCAGCACTAATTCCCATCAGTAGGAATCGATTGCTTTTTCAATCATTCAAATCGGTTGAGCGATACTCTCGAAAACGTCGACAAAAAATTGTATCTACACTTACATTTACATACACACACAAATCCATTTTTTCTGAAGTATGCCAAAATGGTCAGAAACCCTGAAGCGTGAAAATATGCAAAAAAATTTCATTTTCGATTTTTGGCCCATTACTATGACTTACCCTAAGCAAAGTTAAAAAATCAAAGGACTTCGTAATGATAGTTTCAGCAAGTATTATGTTTCATCTACCTACACAAACGCGCCTTTCTTTCAAAAATACATAATGTTTTCACGTCTTTATCATTTGATATGAAACGTGCACGACTGCCTTTTTTGTTTTGTTTGTCTGATCGAAGTGAAATTTGTTTTTTGCTCATTAGTAACTTAAGCGTATACGAACAACCCTCGATCACATCCACAGTTAATGGTCGCTGTGATCATCTATTTAGGTCATGCCTGGAACGCATCACGAATTCGTCAATGGAGATCAAAAGTAGATGATGAAAAGAAACCTTTATGTTGTTGATTTTGGTAAATTGTCTGGGTTTTTATCTAGAAACATGGGTTTTATCTTAACGATTCCATCGGAATTTGATGTCATTTCGAACGTATTCTCTATTTCTTATACCAGAAACTGTATATTTGAAAGCAGTACAAAGCAGTGAATTCAGAAGATATAATTGATATGGACCATGGTACTAATATAATTTTGTTTGCCATACTATAATGATAAGAAAACAAGTAAATTAAGAAAAGTTAAAATTGACAAGAGTCGTGTCAAAAAATCGAATTAAAATACATTTCAGCAAAATAAAATAAAATTTGCTAGTGAAAAACTGAACTGTTCAGAACCACCCATTCTATAAGCTTTTTAGAAGACCTTACTATTCTATGAGAAGACATCCTATCAATTATAATTGCTATGCTATGCTACTAATTATTCATTTAATAAAATTTTATGTGCGACAATTTTATTAGATATATAATTAATACCATATGTATTTTATATATCTAATAAGTATATCCGTATGTTGCAGCAATGCCTCCGAAAGGCTATTTTCACTTGGGCTCATATTTGAGATCTATGATTTCAAGTGAAAACCTGGTGTTATGCTGCTTGGTACCGAGCTGGACGATTGAACCTGGGACTCCATAATAAGCTCTAATTAGTAGTGGATACATCTTAAAATATATACAAAAATATACGCAATTGAATCATAATAATAAAATTATTAAAAAAGGATAATGATATTATAATATTAATATTAATAGCATATGTATTTAATTCAATAGGATAAATCTAATAGCTATATCATATGGTGCAGTAATGCCCCCGAGAGGCTATTTTCACTTGGGATCGTATTTGAGATCTATGATCTGAAATCATACTGCTTGATACCAAGCTGACCGATTGGACCTGGGACTTCATAATGAGCTCTAATTAGTAGTGGATATATATTGAAATATATCCAATAATATACGCAATTGAATCATAATAATAAAATTATTAAAAAAGGATAATGAGATTACTAATATTAATAGCATATGTATTTAATTTAATAGCATATATCTAATAGCTATATCCTATGTTGCAGCAATGCCCCCGAGAGGCTATTTTCACTTGGAATCATATTTGAGATCTATGATCTCAAGTGAAAACCTGGTGTCATACTGCTTGATACCGAGCTGGCCTATTAAACCTGGGATTCCACAATGAGATCTAATTAGCAGTGGATATATTTTGAAATAAATCCAACAATATACGCAATTGAATCATAATAATAAAATTATTAAAAAGGATAATGAGATTACTTGAAATAGGGAAAGTGCCCTCAAATGAGTTCTAATCTGTACTAGTATTTTTGTAATATATATTTCCCTAGTTTTCGTTTTCTTACAAAAAAGTTATCAATTTTATTAATGCCCGGGTTCGATCCCAGAAGCAGTATTGATATACATTTTCATTTGGAAATATAGATCCAAAATGCAATTCCCAATGAAAAAAAACTTTCTGGGTATTGCTGTATGTAATGAAATATAACATGATCACAGTTAGATAAATTCTAACAATAAAAATTTATCAAACATAATCATATTAACCATTGAGCTGCCATCTAAGAATTTATTAATAAAATATTAATTTTTTAATGTGAAATATTGTCTACATATTTTTCTGAAAATTCTAAAGTTTTAAATATTCTTCTGCAGTTCTATAAAAATCTTTTGAGGAATAATAGATACAAATAAAAATTTTATCTTCTATTATTTTCTGAAAGTATGAAAAGCAGCAGCATAAAAAAAATCATTAAGAAAACTGTAGAATATAAAACACTTTTGCGAGTGTAAAGTTGCAGCTTGGCATTGAATTGAAGATATGCAAATATGTTGGTGGAACTGAACTTGGCAAGATAAAAATAACAAATAGTCTTTTATAACTGAGCAAAAATTTATTCACAATTAACTCAAGACTTTGGAAAACAAAAATACTGTAAAAGATAAAGAAACGAGCTTGCTTGGAATTGCTGCTATAAAAATGACGAATGACATTCTCAAGCTTGAATTATATAATGATATCAAATACTATTGTTAAAAAAGTACATCTATGAAACAATCATTTTTATATACAATTAGAAAATGTATCATACATTAATTCGATGCATGTTTTTGAAACATTGTTTGACTTATTTAACGATAATTTATCATGTATTTATTTGATTATCATATTGTTCCTAATAGAATCAATATCAAATTAATAAGAAAAAAAATGTTCACAATAATCAAAGATGGTGCATTACGTTTTAAAAAAACTAACGGTTAGTTTTTTCTTAAATCAGATTATATTAAACATTTGTCATGAATGCTTTGCTCATCTTACAATTAATATTATTTATTAACTTTTCATTATAACTCATTGGCAACTAAGTTTTGCGATGACACTATAAAAATTGATTTGCAAACGAGACAAGAATTTTTATAGAAGATATAAACATTTATAAGTTACTCTCATGCTTAATACGATTTTTTCGTATTAAGTGTTCCGCAAACTGACACAAATTGTTCATATCTCGCATTATACGCTTTGAGCCTGAAGCCACGTTTTTATCCGGACCTTAAAAAATCGTCTTAACGGGGTTTACTGTGAATAGCCTATAATTAGGGTACTTTAATTTTCTAAGAAAGTTCATTTTATTAATAGATACTAATCATAATTATAGTTTTATGAGTAATAAAGTATTTAACTCACCCCAATTAACACGTCGAGCTCGTTGAGCCACGTATCCAACAGCATCTGTGGATCTTCTTCCGACATCTTTAATGGCTTCAATTTTTTTTCACAAAATTTATCATCCACGTCATACGAAACACTTGCACTAATCTAAAAATAAATACAAAATCATATTTAAATCCTTATTTAAATAGAATAGTTTAGAACATATAAGTGACAAATTAAGAGATGATGGAGAATCTTTATGGAAGAGTCAACTTGAATATAATTCAATATTTTAAATATTTCATGCATGATTTATATATATATATATATATATATATATATATATATGCCTTCAAAATATCTAAACAGTTTTTTTTTATACTAACATCAAGGTTCTAAAAAATTTTGATTCATAACCACAAGTTTGATTCATACCAAGTTCTATGGCGATAAAATTCAAAAATAGTGTTAATAAAATTCTAACGGACTATATATATTGTTATAGGTATCATTGAAGGTGATAGGCAGTACTATTGAAAGTTAAAACACCAAGTGCACTGCTGCCTAAATAATAAAATATGTCGAGGACTCCTTTTTCCAATGCAAAAGTGGTCCAAAGTGATATTGTTTACAAAAATATAAAAACAAGTGTATTACTATTATTTTAATCTTTTATTTTGCTTGGTAACTATTTTATAATATAACATTACATAAAAATTGCTATTTTACTATTTTGTCTTTAACGAGAAGTACAAATTTCTCGTGCGGTTGGGACAGTTTTGCACCTAACTGTACATGTATACTAAAATAATAATGATCCTTGTAGATTTAACTTAAAACTGGGAATAGGATACCTAATAGAGTGATATCTATTAAAAACCTTTCAGAATTTATAACGCAATAAAAATATTCAATAAATTATACCGATAACCACAAAAAAGCTTTGCGCCGTCTGTTACGAGTTCACGTAATCGTTCCCTAATGAAAGAACAACATCGAAATAAAAACAACAGCGGTTTTCCATCTGTGCTTACTTTTTCTTTGTTTCGCAAAAGAAAAGCTGAGTGCTTTTCTTTCACACAACCCCTCGCACTGCTGTAGTCGACTGCGAAAAGCTTCAGATTTCGTAAAGGGTAGTAAGGTTTGGTATACACAAAAAACATTTACAACTTAAAATAGTAGTAGATCGTTTAGGCAAAACATCTGTTTTGTACAAAAATCAATTAAATAATCAAAAAAAAATATTTATGCCTTTTTGCTGATTATATTAGAAAGAATTCTGAAATACAATGAAAAAAATTATATTTTATAATTTTTAATGACTTATTATATCGGTGGCTTGTAGATAGTATTGATTTCTTATAAAAACAGCAATCATAACTCGAGAATCTTATAAACTACTGTAATAACATTTCTTAACCGATTCAGAAAGCAACCCAACTTTTGGCCTCTATTATAATTTTTTTTCTCTAATACTAAGAATTTTTAATTTGATTGAGCGAACTAATTATTATACCTTTTGATAAAATCATAAATTAAGTTGAAACACTTAATATTCAATCAATAATGTAATTAAATTAACAGATTTCATTGCTTCATTCATATTATTACTAATAGAAATTTTCCTCCGTATTTATACAGGATCATATGTTACACTTCTTGATTTTCTTCCCGCCAATATTATTTGGAATATCATCAATTTTGTTAACACATCCCGAATCATCTATTGCATTTAAAATTGTTTTTGCCGTCAAATTTAAGGCTTCTATACTATCATTTAGAAGTGAAACTTCTTTAGACGCGACCGTAACTGGGTGTAAATCCGTACAAATGCAACGGAAGTGCGTTACGGCCGAGTCGAGTGCCAATTACTCATTATTCTCTCTCGATGATATCATTTCTATACGGGTCGTCGTATCATGTGTAGTTGTATGCGTGACTTTGTACGTGCGTTTGGATCGCTAGAATATTTTAATTACAAATATTTATAGTGCAAATAATAAAACAAATGAAAAATTGAAGTAATTTGTATTATTCGAGGTTTTAGAGGTTACTATATAACTTTGAGGTTATTACTATAATGGAAAATATTTTTAAAGGTAAGACAGATATTACAGCTGCTCAAAGAAAAAAAATACAAGCAGTAAATGAATGTATGTTAATTTTATTACATGAAGTTCAAACACAATTACATGATGTGTTAAATTGTGGAAACAATATGTCTTTAGGCGTTGTTTAACATAATCCACTATGAATATTATAGAATTTATTAGTCAGCAATTACTTCATTACTCTAATGAAGGTTCAAGTTCTAAATGCTAATTACAATGACAAACCAATCATGGCATTTTTGAAGTAGTTATAAATATTTCAAATGCTATTATGAATATATAATTTATAATTCATTTTCATATAAATATGCATAATGGTTGAAATTAATAAATGTGTGCAACACGAGTGTTACAATATTACTAATAAACATTATTCAAAACTGTTTTATGATGTATTTATTTTTAACTTAAATGCCATCTCGCATAATAGCAAAAAAGTTTTACTTCAATCGCGTGTGAACCTTACGGGCACTCGTTTTTTATTAAGTATTCATATGGATCCTGGTAATTTTACAATAATTTAACTATTTTATCTTTCATAGTTGACAATGATACTTTATCGTTAATTTTCGATCTTTTAATTCTAGTAGATATTAATTTTTCATCCTCTAATCTCAAACTATATTACAGTAATAGAATTATAATTTCAAATAAATTATTGAATTACTATTTGAAAAAAAAGTTAATATAAAAAACTGATCTAAAATATTTTAATGAACTCATCTATTAAATATTGCCGCTTATCGTAAAATTTCCTATACAAATTTGGAATGCAAGCAATTTAAATTTCAAAAAGATCAATAAATATTAACTGAATATTCAATCTGTATTTAATATATTTACGATTCGATTATAGTATATTAATCTAATAAACTTTATAGACAGATGACATAAAAACGATTTTTTGAAACGGGGTTCTAGTCAGTTTCATTTGATATCATAAATCCTTAATGTTATCGACAAATCTCGTGCATAACATAATTATAATTTAGAAGATAAATTGCCGGTGATGCGATCTTAGCTTAAAGGTTTCTTCATTACACACACCTAGTTTGATGAAACATCAGGGAAAAATAAACAAGAAAAGAAGTAGAAAATTAGTATTGTGTTAAGGAAAGCAGAACAAAAAAATTCATTCAAAGAGAAGCTATAGTACTGCCACGAAGAGTGTCGAGGCGGCAATGGAGCATCAGGGGTGAGATCTAATTTTATGATAATGCCGTAAGGGAGGTTTTTAAATTGCGTATCGAGTGCTATTTAATGTAGAACGCTTTTGCCTGATTACTAGTTCGATTGAAATCGAGCTTATAATCAGATGACATCGTGCGGCAAAGTAATGTATTTCCAAATCGTTTAAATCTTCAGAACCGGAGATTAGTCATTTCAATACCGAAATTACGTTTGTGCGGCTCAAGAATAGAATTAATTCAAAAGTGGATCAACGTTTATACGACCTATATGACTTTCATTATATTACGTCTTCATTACTTTATTAGACCGCAACATTACGTTCTATTAAATTAGTAGAAATACATTAAATTCGAGGATATTATGTGAAATATAATTGAATTTTACGCGAATTATGAAATAATTATATAATATTTTCTATTGTTATTTAGTAGTTTATGAGCACAATAAGCAATATTGTGTAACTTTTCATCACTGACATAAATGTTATGTGCTTGCACTTAAATACAATTATTTCTAACTTTTTAGGAAAAAATTCTATAATTAACTATATATTGCATAAGGTTGGCAACTAAGTGCGGATTTTTTCATTGAGCTAAATAACTTTATTAACTTCCCGTAGAAGAAGTTTACGCTTTCGAGAAAAAATCCGATTCGCCAATTTTATGTTTTCTCGACGTTTTAAACCATTCTGAATCGAATGGGACCAAATTTGGTATAAGCATGTGTCAAAAACGGCTGGACTGATTTCAAAAAATTAAAAGTCATTCGATGTATATCGCTAAGACTATCGTTTGTTAGTTTTGCGCGACGATACGCCGAACAGTTTCTTTGTAAATAGCAGAAAAGTGAAAAAATTTTTGTCGACGTTTTAGCTCTCAATTCTGAATCGATTTTAAAAAATCAAAAACTGTTCGAAAGATATTGGGCTTGAGAATGATACTAATTAATTTTAGGTAAAAATCTACCGGAAACCGGAATTTTATGAAACTTTTGTCAGTAGATAACATGGTCTTAGCCTAACATTCATCAAGTCAAACATTCATCAAAGTTTGAGAAAATATTGTAGTCCAAATTTGTATCAAAAGTTTCTTAAGAAAATTCATTAAAATTCAAAATAAAAAGCTACAATTTTAGAACATACAAACAAGAACGTGAAATATAATTAATATAATTGCAGATGATTTGAATATGTTTGAAAAAATTCTATTGGAAATCAGAATGTTTATATTTAATTAAGAGCAATAACTTTATTCTTGAAATTAACAATTGAAAAATTTATCTAAATTTCTAAATTTCAATTTCTATTGATTAAGTCAATTATTACATATTTCGGGAAGTTCATGCAACTGGCCTTAAGGCTAAATGCCACTTTCAACTGGTCTTATACTGTATTGCCCATTGATATTCATGACTTTTAGTCGTCTTCGAAGCATCACCTTTTAAATACTTCTGGTTTTTATTAGCAACTTAATCAGGTACAATTTGACACCATAATCATTAATGATCTTTAAAGATTCAAGACGTTTTAAAAAGATTGGAAAAAAATTAGCAGATGATGCAAAGTCAGGACTATAGCAAAATAACAAAAACTGAATATAGGGAAACAGCCCATCCAAGCTCCAATAATTTTTGCCCAGTGGCCAAATATATGGAAATTTATGGACATCGATAATAGAAAAAATCATCGTTTCGTTTCGTTAGTTGTTTAATGTAGACTTCAGAATTAATCGTTCAGTTGGATGTTATGAGTGAAAGTAGACAATTATCTTATAATAATCTTCAATTGGATGACCAGAGCGTTTTTAATCTTTGAGTGATAAATCACCCGAACGGAATTTGGCAAACCAATTTTGACACTTTTTT